CTTTTGCACCAGTTTACCTAAATCACACTGATGGAACTGTGGGTAAGCAACTCCCCGGTGGGAGCGGGGGGAGAGAATGTGTGTTTGTGCTCACGTGTGGTTTGAACTCTTGTCCATATGAGACAACTGTGGTACAAGTTATATCTTCAGTTGTATGCAGTCCCTTTAATTAGGGAGAAGAGTGCATATAATTAGTTCTTTAATTCCCCCATTGTAGGCAGAAGCCCAGACTTCACAAGGCTTCAGCAAAATCTCAGTGTACCACAGAAATCTCCACTGTGCAGTGAGTTAGTTTCCGAACACTGGAAGCTGCTGCTGCAATATTTGAAAAGGATCCCTCAATTTTGTGTATGTGATGAGGATAAAGAGGCAGGCACATGTTTAAGGTCATAAACTGCATATGACTCCATGAACCTTCAGTTCCAGGTGCCGTATTCATTTTCAGCATAACTGAATCAGGGGAAGCTATAGAGCTGGGGTGGGCAACCTGCCACATATGTGTCATAAATGACACGGGCACCCTCTGTGTGGCAGAATTGGGAGGAGACAGATAGCACAATGTCAGACTGGATAGGAAGCAGGAAACAGCAGCAGATTGGGCAGGGAGCAGAAAACAGACCAGTGGGCTGGGGAAGGGGATTGGAGTGTCACTTAGGGAGGGCGTAGGGCTAATTTGTGATGCACATGTCAAAAAGGTTGGCCCCCACTGCTATAGAGTATGCTTGAATTAAAATTTCCCTCTTCCTCCCACCTTCTCTTTCCACCCTCCCCCCTTGTCTCTGTGATACTGCTTTTAGGTACTGGATGATCCTGCAGAGGACAATCTGTACATGGGTATGTAACTCATTCTGTGCTTACAGAACTGTACGGGTTTATACTCAAGGAGGCACATAACACATGTGTTTAGGAGGGAACATAACTGGGAGGAGACTTGCACTGACCACGACGCAGAGGCTCTGTTCAGTGCAAAGGATGGTTGAGTGCCAAAAAGCCCCACATCAGCATCGCAACAACTGCTGTCTTAGTGACAGGCCTTAGGAGGATGTTGCATGTGCTCTCCACACCTCTGATCTCTGAGCTAGCAAGAAAGTGGAGGAAAGGTTGCTTCCACTCTTCTGTAGGGGTGAAGTGTTGAGTGTAAGGGCCAAGATCTCAGCTGGTCCTGAACACATTCAGAAAGGGTGGGGAGACTTCCTTGCCTTTTGTTTTGCCTAACACACCTGCAAAGAGCCAGCCACATTCTGGCCCTTTGTGTCCAAGCCAGGATCTCTGATGGCAGTGTTGGTAAGACATGTCTGTTTGCCATTTATCACAGAGCCCCTTGGTGCAAACACTTTGGCAGATGAAAGCTGCTCAGGCCCTTTCCGGTTCTCCTGAAGAGCTGGGAGTGTGGCATGAACATTAAGGACTGTAGCGTCCCTGCTTCTTGGGGTGCATTCAGTACCAGTAGCAATGCTGAGAAGATAAATCTGACTTCCAGTCCTTTGTTGTAAGGCCCCATTCCCCTCTGGCAGTAGAGGAAGTGTCTCCTGAAGGAGGTAGCGTGGTTGTGCTGGTAGGATACTGTCTTTCCCTTATGCAGAGTCACTCTAGGTGGGGTTTACCTAGTCTATAAAGCCTCTGCTGTGGTAGCCATGTTGGCACTGCTATGTTGGCTGAGCCTCTGATGGAGAGGCAGTATATGCTGACAGGAGTTTTTCTGTCCTTGTAGGTACCCCACTTTCCAGACAGGGTATGCCAAGCCAAGAGTAGCAGCATGTCCGCATAGCTGTGCCTGCACCAGGGGTTTTGTCAGCTTAGTTACACCGGCTGTGGGTTGTGATCTTTTCACACGTCCTAGCCTTACGAGCTGTGCCAGCAAAACCTTGTAGTGTGGAGCTGGGCATAGGCAAAGCAGCTGCTGTGCACAGTGGGTGTCAGGGCTCTGGAGCCTGAGCTCAAACTGGGCATGTTTGCAGACTTCACAATATGAAAAGCAGGGCATGCCGTGAAGGTGGAGCATTCAGCCTGTGGGATGGGGAGGCCCTGACTGACTGCACTAATACTGGCATTGTCCTTGAAGGCACTGTCCGGAGGAAGCTTGGTAGATCCTGGGAGGGGGTTGAGGATGCTGGGAGGGTGTAGCGGGCTGTGAGATACCCAATTGAAAACCAACCCTACTACATGCTGTGACATCTTCCAGCTAAACTGATTTAAAAGCTGATTCTCATGACATAGTAAAGGCAGCTTTTGAAATGGCCAAGAAAGGAGGCACATGAGCCCAGTTTCCTTTAAAGGCCATTTTCTCTTTAAGAAAAGATTCAGCCAAAGCCTGCTTGAGTGACATCAAAGGTGTGGCAGCTGAGGTGGAAACAGTAGAGCAGTGAGGAGCCTAGCTACTGCTGGTCTTCAAGGGTAGGGGGTGAGAAGTGGTGTTGCTGGGGTCAGAGAAGCGATGATCATTCGAGGTTGAACTGAAAGCAGACGCAGAGTTCAGTGTGCAAAGCTGCAGAGGCAAAGCTGTGCTGAACAGTGACAGCAACAGCCAGGATAATCAAAAATGCAAATAAAAAATGGGTGACACACGGCCGGATGGCAGTGTTATGGAGAAGGATCTGGGAGTCTTGGTAGATCGCAGACTCAATGAGTCTGCAGTGTGATGCAGCTGCACAAAGAGCAAATAGTTTTGGGATGCATCAATAGAAGCATTTGGTGCAAGACACAGATAGTGATAGTGCTCCTTTACTTGGCATGGGTTTGTCCTCATCTAGAGTATTTTATGCAATTTTGGGCTCCACATTTTAAAAACAATGCAGAGAAGTTAGAGAGGGGTCAGATACAGGTCCAGAGAGAATGATAAAATGATTGGAAGGCAAGTCATATGGGGCTGAAGCAGCTAGGCATATTCATCTTACGGAAATGGTGCTTAAGGAGAGACTTGATAGTAGTCCTACTTGAAGGGCTGCCATAAAGAGGAGGGAAAAGACCTTTTATCTCTTGCTGCAGAGAGTAGGATGTAGACCAATGGCTTGAAGTTTCATCAAGGTGGTTTAAATATCAGGAAAAACTTCCTCGCTGTTAGACTAGTGAAACAGTGGAATAGGCTGCCTAGAGAAGTTGTGGACTCTCCATCACTAAAGGTGTTCAAGAGGAGATTGGACAGCCACTGCTTGGAGATGATCTGGGCATAGCTGTGCCTATGTTCTTCTATGGGTATCTCCCATGCTTCTGGGTTTTGTGGGTTGCTGCATGGGGCTGGGAAGGAATCCCTCCCTTTTTCCCCCCTGCTGCAAAATGTCATTTTTTTGTTTGTTTTGTTTTTTAAGACTTCCTCAGAGGCATTGGGTGTTGGTTGCAGCCAAGGCTGGGGATTTTGACTGGGGTGTGTCTGTGTTCCTGCTGGGACTTAAACCCAGAGGTTCCTGGCTAGAAAGTCTTGCCCTTCCACCCAGGGTCAGACTGATAGCCATATTTGGGGTCAAGAAGAAATATTACTTCATGGTCAGCTTGGTGTGGACTGTGGAAGTGTTTGCCTTCTGTTTGTAGCTGGGGCATGGCCTTCTTCCTGGGATCTCTTGAATGTACATTAACAGTCTTTACAGCAGCAGGATGTTAGTTGCCATGGTCCCCCTGCTTGACCTGTGATGGGTTGGGGTGTTATATCTTGTTTTGTGTTGAGATTGGCTGTGTAGTTTTTCTAAGAGATTTAGACAATGGATTTGTATAGGATGGTTTGGATAGGGATGATCCTGGCTCAGGCAGGGGGTTGGACTAAGTGAGCTGCAAAGGTCCTTTCCAGCCACACTTCTCTGTGTCTCTGAATTGCAGGGCAGATTGTGGAGGCCGCCATGGAGAGCAGTTTCTCATGTGAAGGGTCCTAGAGAAGGATTATGGGAGAGTTGGCTGAACTGTGAGAGTGCCTGCACAGCCATCACCCAGTCACACTTCCTGCTGGCCCAGGGACGATCTGTGTGAGCAGCTCCTCAGCATTGTGAGCAGCCTGGCCCAGAAGTAGTAGAGGGGGACAGTAAAGGGTGCTTCATTTGATTAGTATTCAGTAGGGCCAATGGAGGACATTGGAAAGAGCAATTCTTTCCTATGCCGTTAATCTCCAGCTGAGGTGCAGCTGTGTCCAAGTCTCACTGTGCTGTAGCCTTGTCTTTACTGTGTGAAGTCATGGGCCCATCCTCAGATGGAGAGTGTTGCTCATTCGCACCACCCTCTGCTCCCTTTGCACTACTCCAGACACAGAGAGCAGCCACTAAAACAGGGCAGAGAATGAAGGAGCTGGAGTGACCTCAGTGAAGCAGAGAATCTGGCTCCTCATTTCCCACTGATGTCAAAGGAAGCCACAAATGCTGAGCATCTCTCAGGATCAGGCACTTGGACATTAGGCTCCCATATCTACCGTGTGCCTGATGATGCTCAGAAACACTTCTCTATCCTTCCTAAAATATACTGCAAAGGAAAAGGAAAATATACTGCAAAGGAAAAGGAAAATGGGGAGGCCAAAGAGAGGCATTGTGGCTTTGTCCCACTGTGGCATTTGCAGTTGTTTATAGACAGGATGTTTTTTCCCTTATACTGTCCCAGAAGTAAAAGTCCCATTTGCCCTTCATCTCTCGTGAAGGGTTTTTAATGCTAAAAAAATTGGGTTGGGGAGTGGAGACATAAAATAATAATAAAGAACTGATGGAGGGGAAATGGTGGAACAAGAAAATACTGCCTAGCCTGGCAAAAAAAGATGAGCCAGCTCTTAGTACAGCACCAGCTTGCTATGTTTGCATCTTAGGCTGGTTTAACATCGCTGCAGTATTGTAACAATGGCAGCTTAGCTGTAAATAGAATAGTCTCACTTTACAGAAGAAGGTCTGCGCTGGGATCTCTCTAATGGCAAAGCATGTCACTTGTGTTCACTAGTGGAAGGCCCCACCAAATCATTTCCTAATACAAGGGCCAAAGGTTGGACTTATTTCTCTCTGCTAAAGAGTGAGCTCTTTTCATTCTGGATCCCTGGTAGCTTTGCTGGGTTGGATAAATTAGTTTTACCTCTTCAGGGAATGGAAGTTTTGTTAGATGTTTGCTGAGGAAAACATGATTCTTCATCTCAACCTTCTTTTCCTTTCTTTTCTTTTCTTGCAGTGTTTGATCTCCTGCGCAAGGGGTGAGTAGCCCAAAGGGACCCTTTCTTATGGAGTGCTGTGGTGATAGCAGTCATTTGGGACAGCTGGGTGCTGACTGAGGACTGAGCTCCCTAAGTGATGTGCAGACATGATGGATAAGATGGTGAAAGTTACTTGTCAGTAAGCAGGTGCCAGAGAGACAGAGTCTGTTTGCAGTTACATGGATGTAAATCTGGAATGACTTTAGATCACAGCAGATTAAGTTCAGATTTGCACCAATATAACTTCCCTCAGAGCCTAGGAAATCTGTGTTGGCGCAATTTGTGTTGTGACGCACACAAGTTTTTAAATTCTAACATAAAGTGACCTCCACTTTATACCTTCTTCTGGCAGGCGACATATAGGTTACATCAGCATAGTCCCCCTTTCTCTCGCTCTCTCCAGTGCTTTATAACAATCACTATTGAACACTCTGTATTTGAGAGAGCACTTTTTGTAAATGCAGGTGCTTTTCCATCACCTTGCCTTACACTGTCCAGATCTCTGGAATACACATGGGTTACAAGAGATCCTTAGGAGCTTACGATCTAAATACACAGGCCAGACCTAGGTTGAGAGAAGAGAGTTGCAAGTATCTACATTTTACGAGAAAGAAGCCCAGGGTCACATGTGCTGGGGTACTGAGCCCAAATCTCCCGATCCTTGTCTGGTGCTTTAAACACAAAATCATCCTTCCATCCTTGTGTCTCTGGTTCTCCTGGGACCCAGCCCCTGATTCTCTCAGTTCTCTAATGACAAGCCTCACCTCCTTCATTGTGGACATGTGAACTTCTCTATGCTGCAACACAGAAGCAGTCTGATGTGGATGCATTGCCCAGTTTTCAGTGCAGTTTCACAGTTGTTACCACAGTAATCAGTAGATAGTCACCCTGGAGTCAAGGTGGACCCTCCTTCGAATTTTCTGCTCTAAATGAGGTATGGTAATGCCTGGAAATGCCCTTTGGGACAGCAGCTGCCAGCAAGAGACACAGGCCAGGATTTGCAACCATCTCCCAGTCTCTCAATATGATTTGGAAACATCCTTTGATAAAAAGGCATCACTGCAGCATGTGGCTGGATTATAATTAGCAGGATTGTTATGATTTAGCAGTGATGATTGTCTGGGAGAAGCTACAAAGCATGTCACCATCTAAGCCAAGTGAGGGTCAGGCTTTTTCCAAAGAGAGGCTGGTGCATTGCATGGGCTGATCTGGTGGGACCTCATAAAAAGGATCTGGTGCTGGCCTTATTCTGCTCTTGTTGAAACCACTAGTAAAAGTCCCACCGAGTTCATTGGGAATAGAATGGGGCAAAGGCAAGCGCTTGAAAAATTCCACTGTTAAATAAACATTGGCATTAATATGGAAGTTTATTCCATTAAAGGAATGTGCCCTTAATTAGGTGTCAGTGGAAATTCTAGTTGCCTTCAATAGGCATTGGAGTGGAGTCTTGTATTACAAGGTGCTGAGCCATTTATTTTGGGGCCCACAGTCCAGGTCCTGTTCTGAACTGGAGATGAAGGAACAGTAGAAAACATGAATGGAAGGTTTAGTGACCCAGGCTCTTCTCCCCCAACTTCTATGCCCAACACCCCCCCAAGAAAATCAGTGGGAGTTTTTACATCCACTTTAGTGGCAGTGGGATTAGGCCATTAATCTGCAGAGAAGGAAGCAAGATTGGGTGAGTAGGGTCTGCCAGGAGATTCTGCCACAAACTTTTATTTTACTTTTTTTCACCCAGAAGTAGTTAGCCTCCTCCTAGCTGCCAGCTCCAGCAGCTTGAGGAGGGTCTTGCTGATGCTTGCCAATACAGGGAAGGGGGAAGACTCACCTTTGAATCTCTCTGCACATCTTGGAGAAAAGCCACCGCATCCAGCTGTAGTGAGGAGGGAGGAGCATGCTCTCCACCTCAAGCAGATGACAGTTATATTCCAGTAGTTCTGCCAGTCCTGCCACTCATCTCGCATCTCCCAGGTTTCAGTGGCATGAAAATGTTGCCATGTAATAGAGGAAGGAAGCTAGAAACCAATGGGAAAAAATTGTAAACAGTATTGAATTCATCTCTTGAAAGGGGGGTGGGGAGAGAGAGAGAGAGAGAGAGACTAGATAGCACAGGGGAAAGTTTGCTGACAGGGAGCCTTCAGCCCTGCCAGCTTCACAGAGCTCTGTGGTGCAGATACAGAGCAGTTAAAAATAAGGCGAACTGCTGGTAGCTCTGGAGCCCTCTTGTCTTGCTGTCCCATTGTGCATTGATTCCTGGCAAGTGTTTGATCCCGCAAGGCTCCAAGAACCCCATGGCTTAGATACAGCTAAAAATGCGTTTAAATCCTGTTGAAGTCAGTGGGACTGCTCACATGCTTCAAGCCAAGCACATGCTCAGTGGCTTTGCTGGATCAGGACCACCTTGCCAAGTACCTCACAGGAGCACGCCTGATTGTCCAAAGTACTGAGCACTGACAGCTCCCATTATCTTTCCTTTGGAGCTGACTGCACTTCTTTCTTTCCAGAAGGTGCCAAGCAGCTTGTAGAGTCTCATTACCTTTTGCATTAACCTTTTGCTTTCACCTTGGCACAGGAGGGGAGTGTGTCACTCCGGAAGCAACATCTAGCAATAGTCTTTCTGTAAGACTGATGGTAATGGCTGTGAGATGCTTCTGTAATAAATGGTGGAACAGTAATAGATAATGCAGTTTTGTACTTTTCTTAACACTTTCCATCTAGGGTTTTGAGTGTTTCAGATTGGTTAAGTATTAACCTGATTTTACAGATCGGAAAAGCGAGGCCAGGCATTTTAATAGAATTGCTGCATATGTGCAGCTCCACTTGCTTCAGTGAGAGTTGTGGGTGTTCAGCACCTCTGAAAATCTTCTCTAAGATTTACAGAGGAGCTCAGCACACCTGTAGCATGTGGAGGGCTGAACATTTTTGAAAATCTGTCCCTAAGTGGCTCAGGGAAAGCTGCTGAGTGATGCACACTTTGAAAAAATGTAGCATTTGGTCAGGGGTCTAAGTGGGCACTGAGCGTGTTTGAAATGGATCTACCCAAGAACTTCCAGAGGCACAGATGGAGGACAACAGAGGCCTGGTGCCTGGCTGTTTGCTCTCTTAATAGGCAACATTCCTCCCAGAAGTAAGAAAAGTGGCTGTCAGTTAAGTGGGCTCTCGGTAACAATCTGTTTTTCCACTTTAGACCTGTCATGGAGGTACCAAGTGACCATCCCTTCACCGAAGAACAGGCTCGACTCTACTTTAGAGACATCGTCTTGGGCATAGAGTACTGTGAGTACTGAGATAAATTGCGCCTTGCAGAGTATCTGGGGTTTTTTGCTGAAACTAATTGCTTGTAAGCTGTCGAGGGGTAAAATCTAAAGCACAAGGGTTCGCAAGGTTGGTAGGAACCCGTCCCTGCCTGAATTTGTCTGGGTTGTATGTTAGCCCTTCCATGGCAGCTACTCTTTAGAAGTGGCATTATGAGATCAATTCACTAGAATCCCTCCCACCACCACTTTTTTTTTTTTTTTTTTTTTTTTT